AAAAGCTGAAATCACTAATTTGCAGGATAGTAAGGGACTTATAATTGATAACGAAATCAATTATAAATATATTTTTCTTTGGACATCTCTAAAATTTCTCTTCTGGCATTTGTGTTGCTGGTCGCCATGGATACATATCCCATGTTGTGTAATTGAGTTTCATAATTAGATTTTTCTCCCTGTAATGACTACTAGCTTTGCACGAAAATTAACTCAGCTTGGCTCAATAATTTACAAAGTGTCTTTCATTAGGAATGTGAGAAATTATAATGTCTCCTAATACAAAACTAAATTGATCATTGCATGAATGCAGGTGTTTTCCCCAAAACCCGTTACAAACATACAAAAACTCGTCAGTGTAACCCACTTTAAAATAAAACAAAAGATTCCAAAAGTTTATAATCTTACAATGAAATAAATTACATTGAAAAAATGTTCAAGTGCTTGGGCAGGTTTGCTGATGTGTACACGTATGCATGCTTGTCACAACTTTGTGTTATTACTGACAATAATAAATAGATAAAATCAGTTATGTGAGGTAAACAGTCTTGGATATCACTCCTGAGTTACTTTCTGTAGTTAAAAGCTACCCGTCCTGTCCAGGAGAATGTGTAATTGTCTTGTGCCCTGCACTTACAGAAATAGATGTGTAGGTAAAATAAATGAATCTGACTATTATTATTATTTTTTTAAATGTTAAACTCGGTGGCCAGTTTATTAGGTACATCAGCTTGTTTAAGCAAACCTGCTCCTATGATCAGCTGTAATTGTATCATATACAGCACATAAAGTGAGTCAAGATGTTTAGTTACTGAAGTTACAGCATTAGAGGAGCTATAGGGCCTGATTTAAGTGGGTACCTAACACAATGGCCAATGGACATACAGTCGAGCACGGTTATTACGATTCGGCTTATAACGAAAACACTTCGATATAAATAACGCTTCGATTCCAAATCCCCGACCTTCTGTAACGTTAAATTCCTTAAAGAAAACACGCATATAGCGATTCTTTTATAGCGAAAATTCGGCTATAACGATGTCTACTGTCTTCCCCAAAAAAATATTTAAATGAATTTTTATTCGGTTATAACGATTTGCCTCAATCATTCCAGATTTAATAGTTTAAAATAAGTCCGACGTCAGCTTAATCGCGTAGCCAAAGCGAGCAGCAGTCAGTACAGTATGTACCTTTTTTCTGTGCGTAGCGTTCTACCACCATGTAATATGTTATCGATTTCGTGGTCCATACTAAATGTTTGTTTAATTACAAAATACACATTGCTTGATAGTAAACAAGATGTTTTATTTTGATCATTACATGAAACAAAGCTTCATAGACAGAACTAGAAGGTCAGTGTTATTTTATACAGTCATAATACATGTGCCTAGCGATCAGTCATAATACATAGCAATCTTACATGAAAATGGATATAACGAAATTCGGTTATAACGAAAGAAATCTGCCGGCCCCAGAAAATCGTAATAACCGTGCTCGACTGTATTTTAATTTGTGCCAGAAACCATGACACTACGATCAATATAGAGTTTTGAAACTTTATAAACTGCATACATACAAGACCTCTGTAATTGTAATTGTAAGCTGTAATTGGTTTGTAGACATAATTAAGACCTGGATTTAAAAGAACCTTTAGGATTAAACTGTCTCAGAAAACTTTTCTTCCAATTTCCATGTCAGAACACATAGCTAAACGTTGCATTCCAGAATAAGAATGTAACTGTAAATCGCTTCTTCATTCAAAGTATCAGTGGCAGTGGTTTTTCCCAGGTAAAAGTGTCAGAGAGAACTAAAAGTACTCCAAAAATATAACATTATATCATGCTCATTGAATACTGATTTTTTATAATACTGCTTTTTGCAATGGGTTTAGATAGATCATTTATAAAAATCCTTGTCACCTGGTTTGGTTCCAGTCATTGATACTAAGTACAGGTATAACCATCTCCATAATGTACGTACAGCTTACTTCTGGGTGGTATGGCTGGACTCATCCTAAACTAATATATGCACCCAATGTCATGTACGTCAAAACACGCAAACTGAGTATTCGTCATTTTCCATAATACATATAGTAATTTGTGTAAGATGGACTTACCTCCGGGTAGAAAGGGCTCTGCGATATGGAGAGGATCTGGAATGCAAGGAGAGTTTAGTACAACGGGGTTCCCTATGTCTAGAAAAACAGGGCTGGGCCCTAATATGGACACACCGATTCCAATTATGGAATTTAATTTCCTGCACAGAGGCTAAGTGTGATGCAGATTCCCATGACAGAGTCCTGTCAATGAATAACGTGACATTTTCCTATTTTAAAACTGTTCACGTGGATTTTATATTGATTTTGTTCATTTGTTATCAATTGTAATGTTGTTTTCCTCTTATATGACATTTAGAGGAGGCTGTATCAAACTGTCTTGCCCAAATATAATTAAGTTATCGTTTATTGTTTATGCTCTAAAACCCTCAGCAGAAGGGAATTTCACAATGGAGAAATGTGATTTTGGGCACCCCACCTGATATGTAAAAAATATGCGAATAACAAATGCAGTTATGTGTGGTGAGCAGCACAAGGAACAAACCTGTGTCCATCCGCCGTATAATGCCAACTAATAAGAACATAAATAGATCAAAATGTGGTGGACTCCATGTTTGCAATGTAAATAGGAAGATTCTGAGCCCCCTGCAACTGGCTGCCTGTCCTCTGCGCATTTTATGTACAAGAGGATAGGTATAAAGACCTTTGATTATATTAGATCAAGAGTTAATGCATTATGCATTTTGAACAAAGGACACAGATGCAAGAACATTTGCAAGAGTGCACTGTGAGAAGAGAGAGGGGTATGGCGGAAATAGGAATGGACAGTCAGGTGATTTGCTTTGCTTACTGATCTCATCTGTCACACACATCTACAACCGAAGAAATTCATGGAATCAGTGTTTTATTGGTCCACCTAACCTGAATGAAGCAACTATGCGCAGGGCTCTGAAAGTAGGTTTTCTGTGTACTGCTTTCTTTTCAATAAAAAACTCTGTTTCATATTAAAAAAATAAAATAAAAAAAATAATTGATAACGAAATTGATATAGTAAATGAGTTTAATGATTATTTTTCAAGGGTGTTCACAA